ATTAGCGGATGAGGTAATTACTTCTATGAAGTTAGAGAGGATGAGTACACACCTAACTGGATTATTTACATATTTTTTTCTTTTGTTAGAAAATCAGAACAGTATTTCTTAACAACATGCAATTGTTTCCACATCAATATACGAGGAATTCTGCTAGATTTTAAAATGGACAAATTATTTTGGGGATGGTTCAGAGTGGCACAGCAAGCTCCACAATAATAAAATTGATGAGATTATATGATTACCCTGGAGGCTGTTTGATTTGGCATGTCACCATATATAAGTCTTTTCTGACACAACTATATAGCCATGTCTGTGCAATTTCACAGAAAACCAAACATGCCAAGCCTTGTAAGATCATTTTGTCACATTCCAATTATGTTTTTTAAGAATACGACTGAACTTACTAGGCAGTTATGGCCACATCTAAACCAGAATTTATAAATGCAGGCTAAAATGTATAGACAAAACAAGTTTTCTGTTTTGGATAGTAAAGAATGCTGTAGTTTCATTAAGGGTTGATTGTGCCACTGGATTAAAGAAGAAAGTCACCAGCGATGGCAGATATATTATTCACAAAACACTAAAAACTGTAAACTCTGACAGACTGACCACTGGGCTTGTTTCTTATGTTCTCCCTTGCACAGTGATTAGTTTCCAGTGACAGTGAAGCTGATATAATCTCAAGTGCTTACTTTAGTTGTTATGCACATGGATAAGCAGGTCAACAGCTTGCTTCAACACAGTACTTTCACTACAGAGAGCTACTAAGTAATGTTGATTAAACCTCCTTAAGTAATTTGTGTACAACTAAATTTAGGCAAAGTTTGTAAGTGACCAAATTATTCAAACTTTCATGAAAAGCTGCCTCAATAATAATTGAAAAATCCCATGAAACATTAATGTTTTTTACATTTAAATTATTACTGTCTGTATTAAGTTTTACAGTTCCTGCAAACTCTCAAATTCCCTTTCTCTCTGTATCTCTACTAATTCAAAAATATAGTAGCGTATGACAATTTACCCCCAGGAGGCAATCCTGTACCATTGTCCATTAGCAGTTCTGTTGTCTACATTCTACTGAAAAACATTTGCTCTGCAAATTAATTTTGACTGTAAGAGGAAAAAAGTATGAAATACTGATTACCTCCATTTTTGGTAAATTTTGGTAGCGCCAGGCTATTTTCATAGAATCCTGAAAATCTTCAGACTTAACTGTTGCTTCTTCTCCCAATTCATTTCTGTGGGCATCATCAAGCAAAGGGGCTGGAAGTTCCTACAGGTGGAGAGTGAAAGAATATCAGCTATCTCCAGTAGAAATGGCAGTTCAGGTTTTTAAAATTCCCTCTTCCCCCAAATTAGCTAATACAGTTATCTTAATATAATGGACAGTTGGAAAATCTGTAACAAAACTTGATTAAAATAACTTTCTGAAAACTGGCTCCTACTAATACTGAGCATGAAAAAACCCATGTAATTATTATGGGAAAAATTAATTATACAAATATAAGAGAATGCAGAATGGAAATCTCACATTGTATACTCTACACAAATAACACATCTTGAGCAGCATCCATATTCCTTTTTTTTTTTTTAAATCTTTCTTTAAAGGTTGATCTCCTAAATTATTCTGAGACTAGATAAGTTCCCTAGTGAATTTAAGCCTATTTTATAATAAGATCACTTTTCTTTGTTAGCTTCTGTAAATCTTTCAAAAGTATTCAACAGACCACAATAGCCTGCAGACAGGCTGAAAACAACTATAACAGGATGGTTTGAATTTTCTCTTCTGGTAACCATTAGGCATGGTATCTACTAATGACAGATACCTCATGAACACAAACAAGGTAGTAAAGGGAAAGGGCAAATATGTCATCCTGGAATTTTTATAAGTTTCTAATGCAAACATTTCTGGTTAAAAAAACCACAAAACAAAACGAAACATTGCATACAGGTGGATTTAACTGTTCTAGGAGGACTGCAGCTTTGACTTAGAACTAGATTAGGAACAATGTTCTATTACCATCTTTCTGCTTTCTACCTTTGCTGCATTGCTGAAAAAGTAAACAGCACTGCGTGGCCATCAAGCACAGCACTCAGAATTTATGCACTGGGATTCTACACCTAACAGAGGAATGAAGCGCAACCAAGTTTTCTGACCCAACTTTGATCACCCATCTGTGTAAGCTGGAGGGCACAGGAACTCTTCATCTGCTTAAAATAGATCAACGCTTATTTGAAAACTAAGTTTTCATTAAGCAAAAATTCTTGAGAGAGAACTGAAATGTAGTCTCAAGGGTTAAAAATACACAGAGCTAGCCACTATCTCTGTTACAAGGTATTAGGCGTGAAGACATAAACCCCCCAAATTTAACAACTTTAGAAGAATCTCAATTGAGAGAGGGGATACATGTGGAACACTGAGCACAGGCAGAGCTGATACTGACCATAAACATCTAAAAGACATTCATGGCTTTATGTGGGCAGACGTGCTACAAACAGACACACATAGAAAGAAGACAATGAAAGTTTAAATGAATCTGTTTTGCGTTTAGTATTACGCTAATTCAGTATTAAAGAATACAGGAGAGAAAACCTGTATATAGTTCAATATGTAATCTTATGAACAACACACGTTATTTTTGTTTCTTTAGTGTAAATTAACATAACAGCTATGATTACTGACAAAACTGAGAACAAATGTTTCTAATTTCAGGACAGTTGTTTGTGTCTCTCTTTTGGTGGTTGGTCAGTACACCCTCTGAGATAAAAGGTAATGGAAGCCATGAAAACTTTAATGTAGTTACTTCAATAAAGCTGCAGAGATACAACTGTACGTATGTGTTTCAGCAGCTAACCAGAAGACACAAGCCACACCTCTGAGAAAATTATTTTACTTTCTTTTTGCAAATGAAATGCAAAAGCCTGGTAAAGGCTCTTCATGAGAATGGTTATGTGCAGATTTAAATTTTCAGATTTCTTACAGGTTGTTTAAAAGATACATTTGTATACAATAAACTCATATTACTATGGTTGTAAAAATTAAGCTTTATGGGTAGGAAAGCTACACAAAGATTATAATTTTAAGTTAGTATTTACACCTTTCCTTACATTTACAGTTTTATAACAGATGTTTCAGTAAAAAAAGAAATTTACTTTTGTCAAAGTTTCCTTATATCTACCCAGAAAGAAAGCACGAAAACTCTCAAATCAAAGACAAAGATTTCTGACAGACAGGAGAAAATGAAAGCAGAACACAGAACAGAAACAGTACTGAAAGGTTCTGAGAAAGTATAAATACAAACACGAGCTGACAAGCACGCCAATGCATTTCACATATACACAGATACAAATTACTTGCATTTACTTCTAAGAGCATTATATAAAGGATTTTTCTAAAAAAGAAGATGTAATTTTGAAATTCTAATTTTATAACTTGGATATCCACAATAAAAAGTGAATTAATCTTATTTTCCAATTAAGGTGCTATTTTGAAAACAAATTACTGAACAGATAAACTATTACGCAGATTTAATTTCCTAATACAGTTATTCATAGATTTAAGCTGGCTAAGGTAAAAAGGTCTTTCTTTTTTAGTGAAGAGCTGCTGATATGTGATAATCTCAAAATATTGCTCAATTATAGTAATTAAAAATAAAATAAAATCAACCTTCATTTAAAAATTGAGTTCCGCAAAGGAGTAATTCCACAGACCAAACCAACATTTCCAGGCATCTTTACCTTTCATTCACCAAGATCAACTGGTTCTCAGGTACTGCCTGCAACTTTTTATAGTGGTGGGTAACCTGCATTTTTCTCAAAACAACTGCCAGCCACAGTTTGGAAGAGATCATGAAATCCTGCCTGACCATTTTCTCAAACTCCCTGAGCTTGCCCTGTTTCAGATCCTACCACTGGTATAACAAGTTGCTACGTCATCCTGCTGTACTACCACTGGGCAGCTATCGCATCATCTGCAAAGCCAAAATCCAGGAAATAGCATATTTTACTATTCATCTTTACTGTAGGTAAGAGAAGAACAGCACTTAAAGCTATTTAATATTTTTCTCCTTTAGCATCACTGCAAATGCCTGTCACTTGTTCTACGGGTTCATTGTTATTATACAACAATTGGCCAAGACAGATTTGAAACAGGGACATTTAGCTATATACATTTGCTTTTATGTAATCACACATAATGTATCTTTTACACAGAGACTGTATTTTACACTAAAATAGAACAGAGGTCAAGACAACAAGGGGAGAGAGGTTCTCAAAATATTACTGATAAAGTACGAGCTACTTCAATACCCTCATGTAACACTGGAAAATGTTCCTGCTTTGCAGTCAAACACAGAACAAAACCTTCTTATGTGGCACGGGATTGAAGGGAGACATTACGAATACTAGCTGTTGACACCCGAGAAGTTCAGTCCAAAACAATCAGGCAGACACACTATCAGTGCAACACAATTAGGCACTGTGGTATGCCTTAGCGGTTGCTAAGAATGAAGCAGATTAAGAGATCAAGGAAAAATGGTTTCATCTGAAGCTGATAAAGATATTGGCTGCCAGAGATGAAAACCTATCTGAGTATCCATCTGAAATAGCCTTTTTTTGCCAATATAGTTTACTTTTAACTTCTGACATAGTAAAGAGATTTTATTCTAACATAATAAAAACTTTTAACATTATAAAATGATTGTTTAAACATGACACAAAACAACACAAGGAAACACATGACTCAGTACCATGGCAGTTAGCATATGCATCAGCTTAGGTCTGTTTTATGCTGTCTTGTCCCTCGCTGCCCCACAGAAGGAACCAGGAAACGAACTCCTCTATCATACCAAGAACAACTCTTATTTCCTCAGTTGCATTTCCCAAATGTATTTACCTAATAACTACCATCCTTAGCTGAAGAGTATGTTTCTTTGACATACCGTGTTCTTGTCCCTATGCAAGAAACACGTTCACATGATGCAGCGAGACCTAAGACATTTCTGGGGCTACTAGGTTTCACAGCCATTTAATTTTCTATCCCAACAAACATTTTGCTCTAAAGCAAACATATCCTGAATCATATTCTTGCATGCAGTGGTTGTGAACTTTATGGCCTCTCAGTAGGCTTCGTACATAATTCAGCCGCAATCTGGAAAGGGTAGTCTGCCTTTGGAGCTAACTGGTCTTTTGAAGACCAACTGCTTGAGCTCCTCCTGATACATTAACTTAGTTAAACACATTCCAAGATGTGGTACTTAAGCACAAATAGTAAACAAAATTCCAATCCTATTCATGGTCTGAGTATATCTGTAATTTGAACACATTTTAGATAAAGATTAATGAACAGAACTAATAAAGATTGTTTACCTCCAGATTTGCATCCTCACTTTTATCACTATTACCCCAGCTTCGGCTCACCCTTGCTTTCCTCCCATTTAAACTAAACCATGTGAAAGAGAGGCAAAACATGGGGTTGCTGTTTAAGGTATGTCTACATTGACTAAAAGCCAAGACACATGCGTTCATTAGCCTGATAAAACACTAAACAGAGTACCTAGGTGATAGCTAATGCTGTTTTTCCTTTGGATGTACTGATTCACATATCCCAGTCCATAATTTTCAGAAATCTTTTAACTCTATTTATAAGCATATTTGGAAAGGGAGAGAGCTTAAAATTGGTTAGTAAGCCTGGGACTGGGGAGAATTAGAGACACAGAACACCGTTATATAAATCTGCTTTATGGGCAATATTGAAAATATTGAAATTGAAATGATCCAAACATTTCTTTTTATCTTCATATCCTCTTTTTATCTTCATAACTAGAACTGGAATAAAAGGCTTTCCCCTCTTCTGACACTGCAAATTAAATACTATTCTTTGTTTCAAGGAAATAGCTCTTTCCAAACCTGACCATGCCCGAGTGAAACAGAGCACCTAAGTGAAAAAAAATCTCCAGTTGTCATAACACAGGTATATTCTCAAAGATAAAGGCTGGCTGGTTGGATATATACTTCACAGCTCTTCAGTGTCACGAAAGGTTTCGTTACTGCCCAAGAATTACAAAGCATTCATGGGTTCTCAGATTGTTCTTAAACATAGAAGGAAAAATAAAAGTTTTGGAAAGGATAAAGTAGACCCGCAGACAAACGAGCCACAGATCACAGGCTTCTTCTGGCACAGCTATACAAAAATTGAACTAAAAACTGTACAGCAGAACACGTATGGGGAGCAGTGGAGGGCATGGTTTCTATGAGTGACATGTAAAGATGGCT